CGTTGGAGTTGTCGTGAGCCTCCTTCGGCGAGTCGGGCCTCGAGCTTCGCGTCGCGGTCGCTTTCCTAGTCATCGCGGCCATTGCATCGCGTCTGGTCGTCGCGCAGGTCGTTGAGGAAGGTCTCCTCGACGCTATCGAATTCGGTCCAAGGAACAGCTTGTTGCACCCCCCATGGTGACAACAACACCGAAAAAATAGCCTGGCGAAGGACCCAACCATATGCAGTTGTGGGCATCGCATTCGGGGGAGCCCCGTATGGGGCCACGAAACGCTGTACTGGGTGGGGGGGACGCATGCGAACTGCGCCACTGGGACCTTCGGTGGAGGAGCTCCCTATGGGGCCACGAAACGCTGCCCTGGGTTGGGGGGGAACGCATGCGAACTGCGCCACTGGGGCCTTCGGTGGAGCTCCCTATGGGGCCACGAAACGCAGCCCTGGGTGAGGGAACCGCATGCGGGCTGTGCCACTGGGACCTCCGGTGGAGCTCCCTATGGGGCCACGAAGCGCGTGAGGGGTGCGCCGCGAGCAGAGGCAAGGAGGGGGAGGAGGGAGGAGGGCGAGGAGGGGGAGGAGGAGGAGAGGAGGTGGGACGCGGGGCGCTGTCTCTTCAAAACGAGGACCCAACACCACAGGATGGTTGGGAAAAAGCGGCGCCTCTGAGCCAAAATGGCCAGTCGCCATGCGGCTGCTGCGCGCAGGAGGTTCGTCGGGTCGCGGTGGACTCTACACCGCTGGCCTCGCTGGCCCCGTCTCGGCGGTCTTGCGCTTGCGAAGCGCACTGTCTTGAGCGGTGGCGTCGCCGTGCTGGTCTCGGGGAACCCCCGAAATCCAGCGCCGATTATTTGGCCAGTTGTCGGGAAGTCGGCTCGACTAGAGGCCCACGCCCTCGGAGTCGCAGGGCCTGGCCCACGGTCGAGGTGGCCATGCAAGGTGATTCCCCACTGCTCTTGGAGTTCCCTCTCATCAGGAGTCGGATGTTGCTTCGCTGTCTTTTTGATGGTCTTACTGTTTTGCTTCGCGCGTGTGTCAATGGTCGGTTGAGTGGGCGGTGGCGTCGTCGGGGGGCTGAGGCGCGCTGCCCCCAACGCGCGCACCTCAACGTCGTCCCGAGCGCCATGTCTCCCTAGCGGAGAAGGTGGCGGGGCCGTCGGGCTGTCTGCCGTCACCGCACGGGTCGATCGGCATCGGTCCTCAGGCTGGATACTGGCGTCGCGTTGGCCCTTAGGCGTGCTACGCATGGTCGTTTGGATCCGACCACAGGCTCTGCGCGCCGGCACGGTAGCTGGACCCCCCGTCTGGGCCAGCAGCCCCATCGGTTTCAGTCCTACTCAGTTTGGTGACGTTGGGTCGTCGGACCCGTCGCGGTCGTCGATCGGCATCGGCTGTCGATCTGCTGAATAGATGAAGCTGTCTCCTGCGTCGTGGTTGCGCACCTTGCGCGTGGGTTGTTCGCGCGAGCTGCTGCTTCTGAGAGCTGATTTGGCTCTTGTCGGCGGGGCTGACTGCGCCCTGGCGGGCGCGCCGAAGTGAAAACGCGACGGGGCGCAATGGGCTGCAAGGGACTTGTCGGTGAGATGCTGTCGATGGTCATCCGTCGCGGTGTTGTTGGTGATTCGCTCTCTGCGTCTCGGCTGATGTCAATAAGTATGGTCGCGGTGGGCTGACGCTGCAATTTGCTGTCATCTTCTTCGGACTCGGGCGGCGCCGATAGTGCTCGCACTGCTGGGCAGATGGGTTGCCACGGGGCCACGCCCGGGGTTCGGCCGGCGGCGTCGGGCTTGCTGGTGGCGCGGGGGTCAGCACTGCATCAACGTCGCCTCCGTTGTCTCGCAGGTCGTCGTCGTGGTCGAGATTTGGGATGGGCGCCCTCTGACTGCCGTTGGTTCGCGGCGCGTCGAGGCTGATGAGTGCTTCGTCTGGGTGCAACGCGGGTGGAGTTGGAGCGCGAAATGCCGATGTCGGGCCGGTCGGCGGTGGAAGTGGCGGCGCCTGTTCTGCTGGCGATCGCGGTGCAAAGCCGAGCCCCCCGAGGCTGAAGTCGCTGTCCGGCGTGCTGCTCGTCGCGCCTGCGCCCTTGTTCTCGCTGTCGGCGCTGCTCTTCCATTCCTCTCTGCAGGGGCTGATGTCGGAGCCTGGCAGGGTGAACTCACACGGCATGATGGAGTGCCGCGCGCGCTTCGTCTCCTCGTCGGTCGTCTGCTGATCGATGTTTGCCAGATGTTGCCGTCGCTTTTTATCCTTCTATGTCCCTGTCGATCTCGAGCTCCATTTCGCACATGATCTCCGCTTCCATCTCCTCGTTCTTGACCGGCTCCTGCCTTAACGCCTGTTCGAGCGCTCGGCGCCGGTAGTCGCGCTGCGCGACCCCCTCTGTAATCGTAGCTTGTTGTTGACAAAGTTCTTCCTGACATCGCAATCTGGGTTCATGGACTTGAGGTTTCTGTCGACGTTCCCGTTGTAACGCTTCTTCCTGGGCGCGATCAAAATAAGCTCTGCGCTGCTCTTCACGCTCGTCGCGGTGTCGCTTAACGTCGTGCTCTTCGTCGATGACGCGTTGCTGCGACTGTTGCACCAGTGCCTGCCACGTAGTCTGATCGGGCCTTAACCACTCTTATGCTTAAAACGGCGCTTGCTCATGATCCTGGCGTAGCACGCGTTCGTAGTCTGCCATCTTGCGGATTGACTCTCACGCCGCGGCCTGGGCGCCCTGCACGTGAACCTTCTCGCGCGTGAGTCGGTCTTCTGCTTGGATTACACGTCGTCGTAGCTGGTGTTGTTCGCGCTGCAAGTGCTCGCGCTGCTCGCGAAGGGCTCGTTGGACCTGAAGCTGTTCGTCTCGTCTGGCTTGCATTGCCCTCTCCTTCAGGTCGTGCTCTCTGGCGAATCTGGACTGCATCTCCCCGAAGTGGACGAGCGCATCTTCCTGCAGCTTCGCCTTGCGGTGCGCCTGTTTCTCTTCGTAGAGTGCACGTTGCTCGTCGAGCTTCTCCACGCGCTCGGCCTGCAGCTTCCAGGCCATGTCCGCGAGCTCCCTCTCGTGCTGTCTCTTCTCCGCGATCTGTCGCTTAATGATTTCCTCTTCTTCGTGCTGCTTCCAATGGGCTTCGGCGGCCTCTGCCTCCGCCGCGTCGATGTCTTGCTTTGATGTTGCGCGTCGCCCCATGCTCTGCCGCCCGGAATCCCCCCCCCCCAGCCGCTTCAGGGCCATCGTCGCGCTGTCTAGCGTCTTCATGGCCATCGCCACCTTCAGCTCCCTGCACTGTTGTTTCACGCGCTGGATCTCCTCCGCGCCCTCCTGGCCGCGCTGCTCGCCCTCGTGGATGTTGGCGTCGCGCTCGCTGCGGAGGAAGTCGAGATGACGCTGGTGTTGAACGCACTCTTCTTGCTGAAGGTCAAGGCGCTTGTTTACTTCTTCGGTCAACTTCGCGACGTTGGATCCATCTTCGGCTTGGGCCCGTCGCGGTTTCTGTCGTTGTCATCGTGGCAGTGGCGTTCTCTCCCGCGTCTCGCTGTCGGCCTTGCCCTCATTCGATGCATGTATCCGTCTCCCTCGCAGCTTGAGCTTTCGTCTCCTGCTTCTAGTCGTTCACGTTGTCCTCGCTGTCCTTTGGCCTCCGTGATGATCGCCTTGGTCTTGGTCGCGTCGGCGTCCGCCGTCTCCATTTGCTCTTTCCACGCTTTGACTCTCTCTCTGAAATTGCTTTCCTCTTTTTGTTAACTACTCCTAGGCCCTCTTTGTTGAGCTTGATTCTTTCGTTCGGCTCGATGGTTAGGTTGATCATGCATTCTGTGATGTCCCGATCGTCGATGCGTCGTCCAGCGTCTACTCCTGCGCGCCGTGATCCTGCAAGTTGGTCTGCAAGCCGTCCGAGTCGGGCTGCATTCGTGTGCTTCCACATGCGGCGGAGCTCCGTCTCGTTGGGGAGGTTGGAGAAGGCCTCATGGTTGACCGCCCTCGCCTCCGTGCTTGGGATGAGCTCGTTGATGATATCCTGTTGCTTTCTTGTGGAAACGTAGTCCTGCAACTGAATCATCTGGGTCGCGTCTGCTTGGTTGCTTCCGCTGGCGTCGCGGCGTCTTCTGGATGCGGATATGGTATTATTCTTCTGGTCGTAAAACTTATGGTAAGTGTTGTTCGGGTTATGGTTGCTGCTGCTGCGATGGCTGCGCCACGGTGGAGCCTTCGCTGTCGATCTTCCGCGCGATGGCCTCCTCCATGGCCAAGGCTGAGCTCCAACTGGCGGTCCCGATGCCATCTTGCTGTCGGTCTGGTCGTGCTGGTTCCGCTGGTTCTGCTGCTCACTGCGGTGCTGCTGGTTGCCCTGGTGCTGCTGGTTGCGCTGGTGCTGCTGCTTGCGCTGGTGCTGCTGCGCGGAGTGGTGCTCTGCAAGCAGGCTGCTGGCTGAGAGCACCCGCAGGGGGGTGCGGGCGTTGGCTCGCCGCCCCGTCTGCCTGCGGTGCCAGGCAGGTTCCTGGCGGGACGCGTGCCCGTTTGTCGAGCGCGCCAGGGCGCGCGAGAGCGGGGAGGAGGGGGCGCGGCCTCCTCCCGCTGTCGCCGCGCGAGCCGCGCGGCAGGGGTAGCGAGGGCTCTCCCCCCCGCCGCGCGACTGGGCAGCCGCCTCCAGCTGCGGCGCCGCGGCCGCGAACCCCGCTGCTGCAGCGGGGGTGGCGAGGGCGGCCCCCCGCTGCGATGGCGCGCGAGGCGCGCCGCGCGCGCGCGAGCCCGGCCCCGCGAGCGGCCTGAACTCGGTGATCGATCGGGCGGCAGGGCGCCGAACGACCCCGACCGAGCGACCGAGAAGATCAGGCCCCGCCCGCCAGAGGCCAAATGGGTTTTCCTCCTCCTCTTCCTCCTCGTTGTTTTTCGTTGTGTTCCTCCTTCTCCTCCTCCTCCTCCTCCTCCTCCTCCTCCTCCTCTCCTCCTCCTCCTCCTCCTCCTCCTCCTCCTCCTCCTCCTCCTCCTCCTCCTCCTCCTCCTCATTGTCCTCCTCCCAGCGCCTTGCCACCTTCGCACACAGGACTGCCGATGCTCGAACCCAATCCAGGCTCCACCTGAGGGGGAGAAACAACCAACGGACGAACATATACTCTGCTAGGGGGCAATGCCTGAGAGGTCGTCACAAGAACGACTAAAAAAGGCTTCTAAACCGGATTAAGAAACCATTCAGCCGATGAGACCTATGATGAAGCCCCATCCAGCCGGATTACGCGGAAATGAGCGGGACTATGCCAGATCAGGCCGGTTTTTGGCCACGGATTATGCCAGCGCCGATGCTGAGTTTCACCTCTCGGGTGTTGCATCCTAGACTAAGCGACATCCACGGCCCGGGGGGTCGCGCTCCGACGTTGTACTTTCAGAGCGGGGGGCTGGACAGGAAGAGGAGCTCGAGTGGACAGGACGTGAGCGCCCCCAGCGGCGTTACTCTGACTCGTGGCGGATGGCCGACTGACGGAAGACTGCATATTCACGGACGATGCCTACGACAAAGACGACGAGGGCGGCCCTCCGAGGGCGACGGCGACTACGACGACCAAGGGCGACAACGACGACGACGACGACGACGACGACGACGACGACGACGACGACGATGAGGGCGACGACGGCCCACGCAAGCGGGCCAAGAGGGCGGACCCTAACAGGCGGGAAAAGCTGGCCCTACCGGATGGAGGGTAGGCGTGAAATCCTCGTCGACCGTGGTTTATTATCTAAGAATGAAAACCTAAATTCCTTATCTTCAGATGATACCCTATGGATTATTATCCTGTGAATGGTTCGGGCTCAGCGCCCCCCCCTGGCCGAATCATTATCTTTCCAGAAATCAACCGAAGTTGAATATTCCAACATTATGGACCAGGGTTTATTTCAGTCCAGAACGTACTCTCAAACGACGCCCCCCAGGCTCAATCATTATCCTTCCTGAATAATTAACCCGGGGTCAATCTTCCGGAAACATTATGAACCCGGGTTTATTATCTCCTGGAGATAATAAACAAAGGTCCATATTGCGACATGAAAAACCTGGTGGGGAACCCGGGGGTTGGGGGGAAAATAATAATTATTATCATTCCGGAATTACGACAACCGGCTGCATTATTATTCGGACATTATGAACCCCAGTCAATCTTCCCGGAACATTGCGAACCCAGGTTAATATGTTTTTGGGGTCGATATCCCCAGAACATCATAAACCAGGGTTTATGTTGTTCCGGGGGGAACAATATGAACCCCTGTCAATATCCCCAGAACATTGAAACCCAGGTTCATAATGTTCCGGTCGAGACATTATGAACCCTGGTCGATAAGCCCAGAACATTATAAACCCAGCTTAATATCTATTTGAGGTCCATCCTGACTGGATGCGTCGGCACGGGCAGGACATTCAAGTCCGCCGACCCTGTCGGCGTGTGTGAGGGGCTTTTCCGTCCGAGTCGGGCTTTTCCGTGAGATCGTCGTCTCTGTCCTCCTCTGTTCCAGCTGCCTGGGCCCTCTTCCTCAAACGCGTCGTCCAAAGCAAAATTGAACAACATAGGAGTGGAATCGAAGGGAAGTCCCTTCCCTTTAATCCCTTCCTCGCGCTGGGGGGTGGGTCCCGGGAGGGTCATTGGGGGGTCCTGGGAGGGTCCTGGAGGGGTCCCGCGGGGGGAGGCGCCACCCAGATACGTTTTCCCTGGGGGGTCCGGGGGGCTCCCTGGGGGTCGCCGTCGTCGTCAACGTCCCCCTTCAGGGTCGGCTGCACCGGCCGTAAGGCCTTCGCAATAATCTGCAATCCGTTCATACGAACATCCGCGATAATGACGACGACGAGGGCGATGACGACGACGACACAACGACGACGGCGACGACGACGACGACGAAGACGGCGATTCCCGTGGTTGTCCCGCGGTTGCTCAAATAACTGTCTCGATGTTGTCCCAACGGCTGTCCCGACGCAGATGGATATATGCTGAAGACATGCATATGGACGACTACACGGTATACAACATATAGTGGTAGACATATGGTTCAGGTATGACATATAGATTGCATACTTGTTGAACATTACTATAATGATGACTTCGAAAGGTGTTCAAAGCATAAGGTCTACGCATGCATCGTAGCATCATAAATGTGTGTAAGATTGTCTACATGTTGGACAGCTACGATATCTATATATGTATATATATATGTTTATATACATATATATATATATGTATATGTATGTGTATATATATATATATATATATATATATCCGCTGGCCCCCTTACGGGGCCACCAGGCTGTAGGCCGGGAATGTAATGTGCTGCTCCCTGTACCATGCTTCCAGTTTCCACTGTTACAGTTCTGCTTCTTGCTGCTTACTGTTTCTTGTTGATGAACGCGCGAGGGGGGGAGCCCAAATCAGCAGAACTACCACGCCCTGGGAAGGTTCTCAGAATTTGTGGGGGGGGTAAAAACTCACACACCTCACGCAGATCCGCAGGGTCAGGGTCCAAAAACACATGGGATTTGCCACATGTTTAAACTTCAGTGGCACTCCTCACGCAGATCGGCGGGGTCAGGGTCCAAAAACACAAGGGATGTGTCGCATTTCTCAAATTCGGTGGCACCCCTGACGCAGATCGGCGCGGTCAGGGTCCAAAAACATAATGGATGTGCAACATGTCTGAAATTCGGTGGCACCCCTTACGCAGATTGGCGGGGTCAGGGTCCAAAAACACAAGGGATTTGCCACATTTCTGAAATTCGATATCACCCCTCACGCAGATCGGCGGGGTCAGGTCCAAAAAAACATAGAATTTGCCACATTCCTGAAATTCGGTGGCACCCCTCACGCAGATCGGCGGGGTCAGGGTCCAAAAACACAGGGGATGCGTCACATTTCTCAAATTCGGTGGCACCCCTCATGCAAATCGGCGGGGTCAGGGTCAAAAAAAAGGAATGTGCTACATTTCTGAAATTCGGTGGCACCCTCACGCAAATCGGCGGGGTCAGGGTCCAAAAACACAAGGGATTTGCCACGTTTCTAAAATTCGGTGGCACCCCTCACGCAGATCGGCGGGGTCAGGGTCGAAAAACAAACAGGTCCCGACACTGCTTCACGGCGGCGCCCAGACCTCATGATTTAGCTCTTGCATCTCCCATTATCCGAGACAGGGGGCCAGCGGCATGGGGCGAAGCCCTTACGGAGGTATTTATATATATATATATATATATATATACATATACATATACATATATATATATATATATATATATATATATATATATATGTATGTATATATGTCCACCGTGCATATACGTGCTACATGGATATATACATATATAGAGATATACATTGAACATCGTGCAATCGCACAAACAAAAATATGCGTAGATCTGTGTATATATATATATGTGTATATATACATATAGGTATATATAGAGAGAGAGAGAGAGACGACTGCATTGGCATTTCGCGCCATGCAGCTTGGTCCCCCAAGCCTTGCATCTGTTGGCACTCGGCGCCATCCTCTTTGGCCTTGAAACTTTGGCCGTTTCCTGTCCAGTCCCCTCACCCGTTTCTATTTGCTCTCGTCCTCGCTTTGCAGATCCGTGCGCCACCCGAACTGTTCTTGGGGTGCGTTTTGATTCGAATTTCGAAGCGGACACGATCACGTGGCGCGAAAACGCCACCCGGAGGCCCCGACAGAACGTCGAACCAAGATCGTGTGCCTTCTTCGTGCGATCCTGCGCCGGCTGGCGTCGCAACGGCCTGCGCGTCGATTTTTGACACCGCTTGGATCGTTCAGCCGCGAACGATTGCGCATTCCCGTTCAACGCCGGCCGAATCCTGACCACTGACCGCGTTCATTCCGAACGCCCGCGCCAGGGCTTCCGCCGCGCACACACAACGCAAACCGACCGCTGCGGAGAAAAAACTGCTCCTAGGGGTAGTTACCCCAGGATCTGTTTTTGAAGCCGCCCAGGTTGCAGCGGCTCCTGCAGGCCGACGTCGAGCCAAAACCTCCGAAGACTGCAGAAACCTGGCGGCTTCACGCGGCTCCGAACGGCATACAACTAACAAAAACCTCCGCGGGTAAACCTATGTGATATGAGGTATGTTGTGGCAACCATGCGGCGTGAGCTACGTGGTGAAAGCTTTTCCCTGTAAGTTACGTGGTGGAAACTACGTTGTGTAAAACATGCAATGCGGGCGACGCGGCGGCGTCTACAGGATGTAAGGCATATGGTGCAGGACAGGCGGCACGAACAACAGATTGGTGACGGCGTCGTGGAAGCTGTGCGAAGGGACGAGACAGGTGTGACCTATATGGCGCGGGGCCCACGAGCGCCCGCGATGCAGCAGGGGCGGGGTCGCGACGAAACCCCGGCCGACCCACTGAAGTTCTGAACACCGAAGCAGAGAACCCTAGAGCAAGCACCGTCTGGGGAACCTACAGGAAATCGCTCTTCGTTGCCTCGAACCTCAACTTTTCAATCCTTCTGTTCGGTCCTCGTTCTCGTAGCCGCCCCCTCCCGCGGCGTCGCCGTCGGTGCCGAGTGTCCCCCCTAGCAATCTTGGGAGACCAATGGAAGAGCGATACGGGAAACGACGCCGACGACGACGACGGTAGCGACGACAGTGACGTCGACGGCAACAACGACGGAAGCGGCGGCGGCGACGACGACGACGACGGCAGCGAGGGCGGCAGCGACGGCGACGACGACAGCGACGACGTCAGCGACGACAACGACGACGACCACGGCAACGTGGCCCCGCAGCGCACGGCGGCGTGCATGCCGGCGGTCCCCGCGCCGTTCAAGGCGCGCCCGAGAGCGATCGATCGCGGAGTTGGGGGCTGACCTCGGGGGCCTGTGGGCCCGTGGGGGACGAAGAGGTTGCAGGGGATGTTTGGTCACTGTCGGGCCGCGATCGCCAGGGATCGCTGCTGGGCCCCGTCTCTGGACCCTGGGACCATCAGAGATAGGCTCGGAGAAAACATAGCGAATACCGACATGAAGGATGTGGCGCAGGCGGGAGCTCAAAACATGTAATCCAAAGGCTACGTATGCATGGGTACGTACACGGTTGAAGAACGTGTTCCCATGAATGACGTGGAAGGACCCTCGTGTGGCGCACACACTGGCCCGCTCGTGGCCCAAGCTGGCCGGGTACGCAATGCGAAGCAATGGCAAGCCGTAGGAGACGTCTTCTGGAAAACGCAACGCACGATCGTGAAAAGAAATGATCGTTCGGGGTCCTTCGCGTGGCCACCTGTCGGGCTCGCTCACAGCCCGAGTCGCCAGGTCGCGCAATACAAGGCAATAGAAAGCAACACCTCATCGCTCCTCATCGTAATTGTCCTTCATCCACGCTCTCGCCTGGCAATGCGAGCCATTTCCCGTCTGCCGCAGGTCTTTCTGCGGAGCCCTCGTTGGAGAACCTCTTGCGGGCCTCACGAATGCCTCTCAAGGGCTTTGGGGACCCCTGGAGCACTCCTGAGCGCCTCTTTGGGCCGTCTTGGAGGTACTTTTGAAGCCCGCGTGGGCCGTCTTGGGTCCCTCATGGGGCCCACCAAGAGGCGCCCCAAGAGGCCCCAAGAGGCCTCCAAGAGGCCCCCAAGAAGCCCCCACGAGGCCCCCAAGGGCCCCCCAAGAGGATCCCAAGAGGCGTCAAAACTGCTCCCCAGAGGCCACCGAGAGCCCGCCGAAGAGACCCCCAAGAAACATCCATGAGGACTTGAACCCACAACCCAGACACGGCGGCGGGATGGGCCGAAGGCTATTAGTTCTACAATGCACTCGTGCCGCCGCCGCCATCATTGCGAGTGAATCTGCCATCACCGTGGTAACTGTCGTCACCATCGCTTTTGCCTGCTCAGGTGGAGGGGGGAGCGGCTGGGATACTCTGGCCGACAGGGACCCCCCGACAGAGCATCGATTAACGATCCCTATCCCCATTGGCGCGGCCTGGGCCCCACTGGCCGATCTACCCGCCTACCCCCCTGGATGGGGATTTGGGCTGCCCGGTGCTACCTGCGGGCTTCGAGGGGCCTATCCCCAACTGGGGTGGTGGGATGGTGGAGCTGAGATGCCATGGCCCAGCAAGGACGGGTGTCGGCGGCTCGCCGGGTGGAGAAGTGAGAGGGAGCGGGCCTTCTTGGCAGGCGGCGGGGCTGCTCGAAGCCCTCCAGCCTTCCGAAGACAGCGAAGACTTCTCGGAAGGCGTCTGAGAAATCTCCTCCGTCTTCGGAGCGAGCTGAGAAAACTTCTGAGGATGCCCGAGGCCTTCCGGCCCTCCGGACCGTCTGAGAAGGCCCGTCCCCCCTCGGATTCCCCCCAGGGAGCCGCCGCCCGAGGACAGGCGGAACGACACTGGCCGACACGCCCTCGCCCGCGACCTCCGCGCTGCATCCCGGCGCCAGCGCGGCCTCGCGGCCGTCCACCATCCCCAGCAGGCCGCCGCGCCGCGGCTGGGAGAGTCTGGGCTGATGGGCAGCGGGGAGCGGGGCCCAGAGATCCAGCGTATAGAAAAGATCAAGTCGGAGGTTTTTCACTATTTTCGGCCTCTAGGGCCCCTCGCCGGGCCCCTCGTCAAAAAACGGCTCAGGATGGAAAGCAGGTCCTGGGGAATGGGTCGAGACTTCCGGGGACCGCGCATTGGAAAAATCACGACATCGGATCTCTGGGGGGCATGGCAGAGGCGTCGTTCGTCACCGTTTTCAATTTCGCCGTGTCTTTTGATGATCTCGGCGTCCGGTTGTTGGGTCGCCTTGGGATTCTCGTTCGCGCCGTGTTCGCCCCAGTTCCGCTTTGTACTGCGGGATGTTGTTTTGCTTTGGGCTGTCATGTTTTTCCGTTTTAGTTGGCCGAAATCCGAAAAGTTGAAAACTGGGAAGACATGATCGACACGTGAACCCAGAAAGGGATTTTGAACTGCGAGGCATGGGAACGTTTCCAAAAGCCTCAATTGGGCGATGGCCAATGGCCATGCTGAAGACATCAATGGTGATGCTACCGTGCCAAAGGCTGTGTTATGCTTCTCTGCACTGCGCCGCGCCGCATAAGAACATGCCAGGGGAAGCGACACGGAACGTGTCAGTGGACGAGCCAGGGGACGCGCCACGCGATGTGCCAGGGGGACGTGCCACGGAGGATGTGCCAAGGGGGACGCGCCAGGGGACGCGCCGCGCGACGTGCCCAGGGGAAGCACCAGGAAACCTGCCAGGGAACGTGCCCAAGGGCCACGATCCCTCGTAAATCAAGCTGCGCCCGCGTTGCCTGGGCAAGATCCCCCGTAAATTACAATGGTGTCGCGCTTCCAGGGCTGCGTTCCTCAGTAAACCACGCGGGGAGACACGCTCCCAGGGCCCCGATACCTCATGAATCACATTGGGTTCGCGCTCCCAAAAACTGTCCTACATAGTACGCTGCGTCCGCGCTCCCAGGGCCGCAATCCCTCATGAATTGCGGTGCGTCCGCGCTCCCAGGGCGACGATCCCTTGCAAATTACGCTGCGCCCGCGCTCCCATGGGCAACGAAGCACTCCGCGGAGGCTACCCCCCCATCCTCCACAACTGAAAACAATGTTTATCTGTATCGGGATGCGTTTTCGGGTGACGTTTTTCGGCGCACCCCGCTGTTTCCTGCAAGTTCGGCGCAGGCCCGAAGGCGCGAATCATTGTAAATTACACTGCGTCCGCGCTCTCAAGGCCGCGATACCTTGTAAATCGCCGTGGGCTCGCGCCCCCCGGGCCAAGATCCCTTGTAAAGGACCCTGAGTCCGTGCCCCCAGGGCAGCGTTCCATCGTAAATTAGGCTGTTGTCGCGCTTCCAGGGCAACGATCCATCGAAAATGGTGTTGCGTCCGCGCTGCCAGGACCACGATCATAGCAAATCCCCACCAGCCCTCTGAGCGTAGGTGGTTGAAGGAGTTTCCTCGGGAACGGGTTTATCCTCCCTTCCTATGATTACACACCCCCACATCCCCACCTAGCCGGCCGATAGCAATCCCGCCGTCCTAACTGTCGAAAAAAACAACACAAAACTTAATTTGTGTCGAAGAATTGCGAAAAGAGTGACAGGAACGGGACGGAGTGAACATCGCTTGGGTAACCCCAAACGGGTGGTCGCGTCCTACCCATCAAAGAACAATACAAAATCAATGCTTTTCTCGTCAACATGGACTTTCTTGTCGTCGACGCTGCGAAGTCTAGCAAAAATGGGACGCGGCACACATCGCGCGCGGACGCCTGGCCAACCCTACGCGGGACCCCCCGTCCTACCTCTCAAAAAACACAGCAACGTCGACGTTTTTCTTGCACACATGTACTTTCTCCTCGTCGGCGCTGCGAATCACGCAGCGGGAACGGGACGCGGCGCACATCGCGCGGGGACGCCTGCTCATCAACATGGGACTTTCTTGTCGTCGACGCTGCGGCCCGCCGGGTTGAGGAGCTGGGCGGGCGGCAAGTCATCATGCCTCAAGCAAGTGCGGTTCGCCGCTGGCGCGCCCGTTGTCGTGTCCGAACGTCTAGCCGCCCACGATATAAGATGAGCGACAGGCGTCGGACGCGACGCACTTGTTTCTTATGTAGTGGGAGGGCGGGTGGGAGTGGACGGAGCCCTCTGGCTCGTTCGAGCTGGCAAACTTGACCCCTCCCCCTACCCCCTCCCCTGGACCTCGACGGGGGGTTCCCCGACGCGTTGGAGCGTCCAAAACGGCCTCGGCGAGGAAGCCAAAATCATTGGTTTTACCATGGTTTGGGCCCCAGTTTGGCCTCCTTGGGGGGGGGGACTAATTTAGTACCCCCCTCCTGTGATCGATCTCCTCCAAGATGGCCCGAAGAGGCGCCCAGGAGGCCCCGAGATGGGCCCAAGATGGCCCCAAGATGGCCCCATGTGGCCCCAAGAAGCCCCCAAGAGGCCCCCAGGATGCCCCCAAGAGGCTCCCAAGAGACCCCCAAGAGGCCCCAAGAGGCCCCCCAGAGGCACCCAAGACGTTCCAAGAGGCCTCGGCGAGACTGCCAAAATCACTGATGTTACTCAGGTTGTGCGACATTTGGGCCTCCCTGGAGGAAGGGGTGCATGGGCGGGGGGCGCTGCTTCAGATGATTCCAAGAGCGCCTTGGAGAGCCCAAGATGACCTCCAAGATGGCTCCAGATATCCCAAGATGCCTCAAGATGGCTCCCACGATGCTCCAAGAGGCCCCAAGACAGCTTCAAGACGGCTCCCAGTGGCCAAAGAGCTCCCCCAGGAGGCCCCGAAGAGGCCAAAATCCTTCCAAAACCTCAGGCAAATCCGTGTTTGTGTTTTCTCGCCTTTTTCGCTTCCGATGGCCATCCGAGGCTTCACGATGACTCCAAGATGGCCCAAGAGGGCTCCAAGAGCGCTCCCTAGGCTCCCAAGAGCGCTTCAAGAGGGCCCCAAGAGACGCTCAGGAGGCCCCAGGAGGCCCCAACAGGCGCCCCAGAGGCCTCCAAGAGGCCCCCAAGAGACCCCCAAGAGGCCCCAAGAAGCTCTCCGAGGCCCCTTCCTCTGTGTGCTGCCCACTTCCCTGATCGAGGCACTTCCTCTGGTCATCGTTTCTGGATGGGCTGGTGGGGTTACTTTTTGGTCCGCAGCTCCGAGGCGAGAGACAGGGAGCGAGCACAACGTCCGAGGCGCGGCACGTCAATAGTTGGCGCGAGATTGCCGCGGATTCCAGCGGACAACGCTCGCAGCGGCACATGCACATGCCAGGGACAAAATGCCCCTCATTGAGACGCATTTCAGCGTCCGCTGGTGACCGGCCCAGACAGCCCGCTGGTGGGGAAGCAAAAGGCGCGGCAACGAGGCGGCAACGGAACGGAGAGGAGAAGTCGCCCTTGCGGCGCCAAATTCCAGCCGAACCGACAACGCAAGCGAGGCCAAGACGGACAGCAAGACACTGTAATAAGCCGCGGGCAGAACGCGAGCCCGAGCGGCCAATGACCAGACGGAGCCCACGTGTGTGCACACTGAGCCAGGCCGTCCAAGACCTTAGAAAAAGGGGGGTGAGCGCGAGCGAGAGCAACGAACTCAGACTCACTGCACCTCCACGAGCATACGATGATGCGGCGAGGGTGACCCGACTCACCAAGGCTCACTGAAGCTGAGGGGTGGCTGATCCGCGTCCGAGCACCATCCAGTAAGAGGCAGACCACTGGTGTGCGCTCACAAGGCTGAACAACCTCCAGCCGGTAGCCTGTGCGCTTACATCGTATCCGAATCACACTGTTCGGGGGCACAACGATGCAAGTGTACTGACGAGGGCTAGTGGCTGTGGCTGCGCCGATAAGAGCGAACTCGAACCACAGAAGGCTGAACCACTCAATGCGGGGCCGTTCACTTGACGAAGCCAGTCACCATGTGTATGGCGGACAGCCGCACCCACTCAACACCTGCCACGCTGCCCGTGCAGAAGCCAAATACCTCCGACGCCAGGGCGAACCGATGGCTGGCAGCTGCAGAGCTGCTGGGCCGTACCGTTCGCTGGCGGCGTGCTGATGGCGGGCCAAGACGTCCTTGTAGTAGAACCATGGCCGGGTCGGCGACGAAGGAAGGACCGCTGTTCCCAGGGCAGGTCTCAGGGCAGACGCGCTTCTGCGGCCGGCGCAATGTGTTGGCGCTGTTGGGCAGGGAAGGGGCGCAGCCAAAAGCCGCTGAACACGAGTGCCAATGAGGGGTCCGCGTCCGAGCACCATCCAGTAAGAGGCACACCACTGGTGTGCGCTCACAAGGCTGAACAACCTCCAGCCGGTAGCCTGTGCGCTTACATCGTATCCGAATCACGCTGTTCGGGGGCACAGCGATGCAAATGTACTGACGAGGGCTAGTGGCTGTGGCTGCGCCGAGACGAGCGAAACGAACTCGAACCGCAGAAGGCTGAACCACTCAATGCGGGGCCGTTCACTTTGACGAAGCCAATCACCATGTGCATGGCGGACAGCCGCACCCACTCAACACTTGCCACGCTGCCCGTGCAGAAGCCAAATACCTCCGACGCCGGGGCGAACCGATGGCTGGCAGCTGCAGAGCTGCTGGGCCGCACCGTTCGCTGGCGGCGTGCTGACGGCGGGCCAAGACGTCCTTGTAGTAGAACCATGGCCGGGTCGGCGACGAAGGAAGGACCGCTGTTCCCAGGGCAGGTCTCAGGGCAGACGCGCTTCTGCGGCCGGCGCAATGTGATGGCGCTGTTGGGCAGGGGGGGGGAGCAGCCAAAAGACGCTGAACACGAGTGCCAATGAGGGGAGGAGGAGAAGGAGGGGGCGCAGCCAAAAGCCGCTGGACACAGATTAAGATGGGAAGTGGCCGGCGGCCGCACTGCAGCCGGTGACAACTTATTCCAGGGACGGGAGCGTCTTGGCGGCGAGGTGCCGCGCCACTGCGTGACGAACGCGCCTGTCCCCGTGAAGGGTGTACAGGACACGGCTAGCGTGGCCTCCGTGCCTCACACAGGGCACCCATGC